CTCCATTACCTTGATGGTCTTTAAGAGGAGACTAGACATGTACCTGGCTGGGGTTGTCTGACCCCAGCGCTCCTTCCTGCCCAGGGCAGGGGGTTGGATTCAATGACCTACTGAGGTCCCTTCCATAGATTTCATAGATTTCATAGACATTTGAGCTGGAAGCATTCCAGCAAGATAAACATCCAAATGTCTCCTGAAGGTGTTCAAAGTGGGTGCTTGAACCACCTCCAGCGGCAGTCTATTCCAGACCTTGGGGGGCTCACTGACAAGCCTCATTAGATTGTCAAAGTCAGCTTTCCTGAAGTTGAGGACTTCTGTATTACTGACTGACTTGCCAGCTTTACGGCAGATGGTGAAGGTGATCAACTCATGGTCACTGTCACCCAGCTTCCCTTCGATCATTAGGTCGCTGATTAGGTCATCCCCGGTTGCCAGTACCAGGTCGAGCAGCGCTTTACCTCTCGTCGGCCTGTAGACTTCCTGTGTCAGATAAAGGTCATCCACACAAGAGAAAGCTTTATGACTGCTCACATATGGCTGAGCGCTCCTCCCACGAGATGTCTGGATAGTTAGAGACTCCCATGACAACCATACACCAGGAGCGCGTGGCCTCAGCCAGTTCCCTGGCAAACTCCTGGTCGAGGTCTTGACCCAGGGTAGGGGGTCTGTAGTAGACTCCCACCATAGTATCTCCTGTGCAGTGTTCCCCACGGATTTTAACCCAGAGGGTCTCAAGTCATTCACTGTGGGTGCCAATATCAGCTTGCAGGGATGCGTAGCTTTCCATGACAGAGAACTACACCCCTGCCCCTTTTGTCCACTTGACCCCTCCCATACAGGGTATAGCCATCTATACCTGTGGTCCAGCCATGGATGGAGTCCTACCAGGTCTCCGTTATTCCTATGACATCATAGTTATTTGTGTCTAGCTGGAGGACAAGTTTCTCCTGTTTATTCCCCAAGCTCCTGGCATTTGTGTATAGGCACGCAGGTGTCCGCTTGGGGGCCCTTGTCTTGCCTACAGTTTGTACCAGGGCTGGGGCAGGGGTGGGCTCCCTTAAGTGCTTTGGCCTGCTGGCTTTGCAAGGGTTGCTCAGCAGGTCAGCAGTGGCGGTAGTCCCCCCATCGCCTGGCGGGCTTAGTTTAAAGCCTGGTGGAGCAGGTCAGCCAGTCTGGCTGAGAAGAGCCTCCTCCCCAGCGAAGAGAGGTGGAGGCCATCCCTTCCCAGCAGCTCACTGCCTTTCTCTCCAAAGAGTGGACTGTTGTCATGGAAGCCAAAGCCTTCCCTATGACACCAGTGCTGCAGTCTTTGGTTCACTACCCGGATCCTCCTCTCCCTACTCAGCCTGTAGCCCAAGACTGGGAGGATCAATGAGAACACCACCTGTGCCCCCAACCCTTTAAGCCCCTCTCCCAAATCCCTGTAGTGCTTCATAACCCAGCTGGGAGCGCTCCGAGCCATGTCATTTGTGCCCCCATGGATGAGGAACATAGGGTAGTGGTCACTGTGCTGGAGGAGTTCAGGGATCTTCTCCACAATGTCTCAGATCTGAGCTCCTGGGAAGCAACAGACTTCCTGGTCTAAGGGGTCGGGGCGGCAGATTGCCCCCTCAGTCCCCCTCCGGATGGAGTCTCCCGTGACAAACACTTTGCATTTTGTCTTAGGGAGAGCGGGAGTGGTAGCTACAGTAGAGCCTGTGTTGCCTGCAGGAGCTGGCCACTTAGCAGGCTCTGCTGGGGCTGCAAGAGGTTCATATCTGTTGCAAAGCTCCAGTGGGGCAGGGGCCTTGGTGCAGCGGGTCTTGGGGCCCTTGTCCACGTTGGTCCAACCCCTGGACTGGAAAGCATGGGAGGTCCTCGAGTCCTCCCCAGTCGTGGAAGGCGACCATGGTTGACCCTCCACCTCCTGAGGAGAAGGGCCTGGCAGTAGGAGTCGATCTTCTGCTCACAGTCCCTGATGGCACGCAGTCTCTGGACTGTGGCCTGGAGTTCCTCCAGCTGGTGCGCCAGAGACCCCAATAGGGAGCAGACCTCACAAGGGGAGGTGGCCATGCTCCCTGGCCCCAGAGCCTGAAAAGGTGTCAGGCAGCCCCTGGAGCCGAGAGCCAGGGACTCTGTCTGTGTGGAGCCCAGAACCATGGGCTCCGTCTGGGTGGAGGCCTCTGAGGTGCCGGGGGGGGAGGGGTGTGCAGACCCTGAGAGGACCCAAGGGGTACGGTGCATGTCCCTCTGCGGCACGCTGCTAGTAGGCCAGCTGCGGCTGGGACTGTCTACCTTGGGGGGCTCACAGGCAGGGCCTCAGGCCCTCCTGCACAAACTCCACGCTAACTCACATGCCAGGCCCAAAAGCATGCCTGTTTGCATGGCCTGTTCACAAGGCTCTGGTCACATGGCTCCCTGGGGGGCTGGGCGAAGTAGGAGCCGAGGGGTGTGACCCTCCTCAGCCCACTCCCAGCTGTCTAGGTCCCTCCCTCCACAGGCCCCAGCTTACCTGCAGGCAGGCCAGAGCTCATCGGGAGTCCTGGGGTCTCTGCTGGGGTCCCTAGGCTCATGGGGGTGCAGCGGGCTTACATCCATGCATCTCACACCACAGCCAAGACAGGAATGAGGTTTCTGCCATTGCCGGGCCCTTTTTAAACTGCATGCATGCGCAGAAGGGCTGGCCGGTACCTCACTGTTCTTGGGCAGCTAAGGGGAGTCCCTCCCCTCCACTGAGGGAAGGAACAGGTGGGTAATCCCCCCCACAACCTGGCTCACACACCAGCAGCTGGGTAGCGTGGCTCTCTGGAGGGCTGGGCCAAGTAGGAGCCGGGGAAATGTGACCCTCCTTGGCCCACTCAGCCCACTCCCAACTGTCTAGGTCCCTCCCTCCATGGGCCCCTGCTTACCCATGGACAGGCCAAGGCTCATCAGGGGTCCTGGGGTCTCTGCTGGGGTCCCTAGGCTCATAGGGGCACAGCAGGCTTACACCTGCATATCTCGCACCAGAGCCAGGACAGGAATGACCCAAACGTCTATGAATCTATGAAAAAAGGGAGGAATAGCTGTGTCACATCCTCAGTACTCTGTCCATAAGATATTATTGCATCATTTACAATTTTGTCCCAAACTATATACATGCCAAAGTTTCACTTTTCATAAAGATCTCCTCATGGGTATATCCCAGTGCATCTGCAGCCATAAGAATGCATGGACCACTAGAAATCAGTTCCATCTCAGATAAGATACTTAGCTATCATTTAGCAAAAAGAAAAAAAGTATGTAGTTAGAAATATTGTCTGGCTCTAAAGCTTTTAAGGGGGAAAGGAAGCAGACAATAGATGATAGATGTGATTACCAGCTGTAAGCCCACAAAAATGTAAAGCAAATATCATCTTACTTACCACAGTACTCAGTCAGGAGTCCTAGTCAGCAGCTCTGCAGTGAATAGCTATGGTGATGAAATACATTTATGTGAAGATTTGATATTGGTTTCCTAAATGTTATGATTAAAATGTTTGTTCCGCCTCCTTTCTTATACTTAGCTTTCAAATACTGCTCTCTTGGCACTAGCACATACTCACATTTTACATCTAGCTAAAAACAAAGCAAAGCCAAAACAACAACCTATCAGATTTGGTAATTTAAGGCAACAATATATGAAGAATGGAAATGTCTCTTCAAATAGTTCCTCTGCAGTGACTATCAGGCTTGTCATTTGAAATTTTTGAGATTCGCATTAGTGATTGCAATGGCTTCAGCATATTTATCTTGAATTGTACAGGAAACATGATCAGACAGAGCCAAAATATCTGTACAGCCAGCAGGAAAGTCAAAAGTAACTCAGCTTTGGCTGGAGGCAGGCAATCTAGAGTTCTGTGGAACCACTGTGGTGCCCCAAAGAGCATCATCCCAGAATTTTTGTGGTATCTGTGGTAGCAGCTTCCTTCCTTATATCTCAGATTACCTGCTTGATCTGCACAGTCAAACAGCTGCATCATCCTACTCCCGCTGCACTTAAAAATTCAAGTGGGAGATTTCATCACCTTTCTAGGTAATCTGTTCCAGTGGTTAGTGACTTTTATGCTTAGAAAGTTCTAATATTTGACCTAAATCTCCCTTAGCACAATTTAACCCTATTACTTCTTATCCCATGTAGACATAGTACAGTTGACCACTATAGCCTTTTAATAACCATTTTTAAACTTGAAGTCTATGACCAAATCTCCTCTTGTTCTTCTCCCCTCCAGGCTAACTAATCCCAGTTGTTCCAACTTTTCTGCATGTGTTATATCTTGAGAGTTCCAAGAACATTTGTTGTTCTCTCCTCTCGACTCTTTCCAATTAGTCCATGTCCTCCTTGCAGTGTGATGCCCAGACCTGGAGACAGTACTCCAAATGAGGCCTCGCTAGTGCTGAATAGAGTGGAAGAATCCCCTCCTCTTAACTGAACACAGCACTCCAATTAATACATATCCTACAATATTAGAACCAGGCCTTCATCTAAATCTTTGGTTTAAGGACTGTCTCATATGTCCTGCAAGTCCCAAATGAATACCAAATAAGAAACTGACACGGAAGATTTGTAGAACTAGTATGTAATCTCAGATAGCTGCCAGTTTTTAAACACTGAGCCAGGTAAATAAGATTAAGTTAACGTGCAGGTCTTAATTTTTCTCTTTAATAAATTGTTTAAATGCAATTTTGATTTTAATTTGGCTGGTGATTTGTGGGGGATACAGATGGCTTCTGGAAGGAATCTGCCCCATGGATGGAGAGAGAACAGACTGGTTGGTTCATGCCTTAGAACGCAGTATCTTTAAGAGGTGAACTGACAGGGCAGGCTACTTATCCTAAACCAGTACAGGCACAGATGAAGGGGGAGTTTTTACTTTCTATTTTTAGAGGAGCTGACAGATGGTTAGCTGCTTTTATTGCAGGTCAGGTCACTCAAGTGGCTCAAATGGATATGCTCCCTCTAGGGCAATGGGTAGCAGCCTCAGTTTTCAGAGTCCACAGTTTCTTCTCAATACTGCTATAAGGAAAATAGTTGATTCAGCCCTGGATCACTGCAAGTATTTCAAGGGCTAAGAAACGTCACGAAAAGCAAGTGGTGGAACAGTACGGGAAAAATCATGTATGTAATTCCAGGCTACATTTAATATGAAAAGCCTCAAAACAGAGTTACTGTAGCAAAAGTAACTGCCCTCATTATTTTCAAAGATAGCTGCAAAGTCTATGTTCATGTTCTGTAGTGTAATAATATTCATGTCCAGATTTCTACCATAATATCTATTTTTAGAGGATTTTTTAAAACTTGTCTGTAAAGGTTCATCTCAGACTCAGAGTTGTAATCTTATGTTGGTGTTACTTATTATGCACTTGGGCATTTTTGTTTTAATCCATTTTCACATGAGTTCAGATAGGTGCAAGTTACATGAGCTTTATGGATAGGGCAGGATATAAATCTAATAACCAAACAAGCAAAAAGCTCTGAGATGATATTAAAAGCAACATCATCTGAAGGAGAGAGGAAGATAAGCTATACAGAAGGGGTTGGAATGGAAGAGCAGGGTACAGAAAAATGGGCCAGAGCAACCCTATTGTAGAAGACCTGCTGTGGGCTATAGCTAACAGAAGAGGATCCCACTGGCAGTTAAACCCCTGAGACCCCAGGGAAATAGTGTGCTACAGGTGTCCCAGTTTTGCCCACAAAGGATCCCAGTCGAGGCACCTGGACTCCAGCTTGGGCCAGCACAAGGGACCAGGCTGCCAGAACAAGCCTGGGGTCAAAGTTAAGGTGAGGGGTACCATCATCCCGGGGTGCTCACAGTCAATGATACAGACAGAGCTCTTCCAGCCCCACATGGGGAACCCGGAGAGTCCGGTGAGCATGGTTGGCATCCATGGGGTCTCGTATACCTATGAGTGCCGGCGAGTCTGGCTCATGGTACTGGGCCACACTTAAGAGATTGCTGTGGGATTGGCCAAGACCCTTCCCTGCCCCATGCTCCTAGGGGTTGACTGGCCCCATCTGGAAGAGGTGGTCACCCGGTGGTCACACTTCTAGCAAAGAAGGGGGGTGAATGGGAGAACAACCCGGGAGCGGCTTGCTTTGGGACCTCAGAGGAGGAAGAAGAAGAGAACCTGGACATGGAACAAATCATAGGGGATGGATAGTTCTGGGAGGAACAGCAACAAGAACCCCTGTTCCAGAATATCTGGCAATCCCAACTGGCCAAGAACGTATTGTGAAGATATCTACATACTGGAGATATTGTTGGCAGGTTTTGCGTGTCTTATCATGGCATGGCCTGTATCCATTCATCAGTGAGTTTTGGGCTGTAGGAAGTTGGCTTCTGGTGATGAGGTTAGCAAGGTTCAGTGCTTGTTTGAATTTACAAGGCTATAGATGTCCTCAGCAGTTAGCTGGTGGTCCTCTTCATTTTTGAGTGATGTGTAGGGAGGCTGAATAAGAAACTTTATGGATCAAACATTAAGAATATACTTCACCTCTAGTGCCCCAATATTAACTGGAAATGATGAAGCAGCAAAAGTAATTTAATGAGATTGAAGGTGATGAGTTACTGGCACATCTATTTGGTGAGTATCACTATTTTTTACTAAAATGTTGTACCATCTAGATATCCCAGATGGACTTGAGACCCCCGTGTGGCTTTCACACTTTGGCCCGCATAGCTAACTCCTAAACCAGCCTTGCCTGTGGCTCTGTCCCACAAAGGAGCTTGACTGCATTTTATTTTTCTAGTTAATGAAGTGCAGCCATTACATCCAACAGTTACAGTCAGTATGAATTCAGCCCATGACCATATAATTTGAAAACAGCCTCCATTAGCTCTTTGATACCACAAGCCTTAAAAAGTCAAGTGAATTGCCTTGAAATATAGTATAAATTCATCTGTGTTGTGCTTCAGTGAAAGGAAGATTTTAATAATCAAGGCTACCATGTGGCTCTTTTATAGTGTGTTTGTGGAAGGCTCTCAGTCTTCTTCACAAGCATTGTGTTCAAATGACTCCATGAACCAGACATAGCCATTATCCTCCCAATTTTACGAAAAGGAGAATTGAGGCATGAAGACACTGAGGCACTTGCCCAAAATTAAACTGCATATCAGTGACAGAGATGCACTCTGGTGTTGTGGCACGTGAAGCATGTAGCATAAGTCTGACTGCTGATCCTAACCATCAAGAGCTCTGCTATCTCACAGCCTCCAGGGACAGATCACTGGCTGCTGGTAGGCTCCCCATCAAGCCCTTCTTTGTTGTTCCTCATATTTCCCCTCTCCCAGATGTTCCCAAACTTTCTGGATATGCGACCCCAGTCCTAGGTTTACAACCATGTCATGTGGTACAAGCCTGATTTTTCCAACCGCATTTCAGGACTCATTTGGGACTGTGAGCTCTACTTTGGGAACCACTGCTCTGTTTTTTCAGAGTAGGCCACAAATGTCCTTCCTCCAGCCTCACTCTAGCCAGAAACTTCAGGGCAGGCCCCAGCACCTTCTCATACTCCTAGCCTCTTCCTTCCTCCCACCTCCAGCAGCACAGTCCCCTTCAGGGTTGAAAAGCTGGCAACCTTGTTCCTGTAGACAAATCTGGGCTTGCAAGACTGATGTCACTGCAAATGGCAGCAGGACGGAGCTGCAAGTGTCAATGGATTCCATAGAGCCACTTACTATGCTGTTCGGGTTTCAATCACTGGGAACAGACCCAGCCCAAGGAGTAGCCATTCAGCGCCACGACCCACACTCTGGCGTAGTATTCAGTGAAGTTTTCGGTTTCACGTGTGAGGTTACAAAAGGGCTGTGAGATGTTCCGGCGCTCGATTTTGTCAAGCCATTTTTTCTCCACATACCTTAGAGAAGACACAGTGAATGCTTTCAATCCACCATATATAGTTCCTAAATATTTAAGAACTGAGTTTAATAAGAATGAGTGCACCCTGCCTCACAGTGTGCCTGTGAAGTGTCATTTCCACCTCTGCCAGTATACAGATGGAGAAACTGAGGCACAGAAACGAAATGACTCACCCCAAAGTCAGTAGCCAATCCAGGACCCAGATGACATAGATTCCAGACTTAAAGTGGTTTTTAACCATCTCTTAATGAATCAGTATGCACATTTGAGACACATGTGCATACTGATTAAAAGTCCTTTTTTCAGGTTCTGATGAGAGTCAGTAACTTTTCTTATATCTTCTACCTACAGTGGTGCCTTTTGCCTTTACAAATCATCAATAACGCAAAGGCAACAGTAAATATAAGTAGCTCATATACTCTATGGAGGCAAAGGTATTGAACTATGCAGTGTTTTTCAAATTGAATACTTCATTCACCAAAAACTGCAGTTGTATTACACTGAAACTCTTTGCTATTGGTGCCGACTTGGGCCAAGAGTTAAAAAAAAAAGAAAATAAATGTCTGCAGCAAGTAAGGTGCTTTTTAAAAACAGGTTGCTTCCACGTTTTTTAAACAAAACAATTTGGCATTTCATTTACAATATTTCCAGATTCACTTTAGCTCAATTTAATTTTAAAAAGAGAGCTAAAAACACCTGAACAAAAAGATTCTTTTATCTGCACCAAAACAATATTTTCTTGGTTTTCATTTCAGTGAGACAAGCTAGAAAAAATGTTTCAGATTGATCTGCAAATAAATGTATTTTTTTTAACTGTTTGTGTTTCCAAAAACAGAAAACCCTCATTGTTCCCTTAGCCATACAATGACCTTGAGCATGTACAGGTTTCACTGGATGTTTCCAGCCTGCCCAGGACACAGCTGGGACCCAAATATATGCCCACAAGCATAAGCGGCAGGTTTGCTAGGTTCTGGTAATCCATGCAGAAGCTGGGTGAGCTGATGAGAGCTGGGCAGTCCTGATCCCAGCTGGAAGTGAAGCCAAGTTTCTGGATATTGCTGAAATCATGCTTTTGCCAAGGTTTTCCAACTGTCTCCCCTCCTGAAACAATGTTTTACTTGTTACAGTCCATTCTTCATCTCTGTAGCTCAAATCACTTGTTAAATGCAGGCCACTAGTATTATTTGCATTTTACCAATAAGGTAACTGAGATACAAAGAGAAAGGACACAGGTGAGTGGCAGAACAGGGACTGGGATTGAAACTCTGGCAGCTAGCTCCCAGCCCATTGCCCATGTCAGCTGGGCCATACTTTTGTCTCCAGAGCAGCTTAGCGACTTTTCTTAACATAAGGTCACCTTCCAGCTGAGATGAACTCCAAGACCCTGTTCTTTTGCTTGGGTTCTGTTCCAAATAACCATTTTGGCAGCAGTAAAGCAAGCAGCAATTAGCAGCCAAGCTGCTTTTCTAGCTCAGCCCTTTTTTCTCAGAAAGCACTGGTCTCACAGCGTATTCAAACAAATCACTCAGGAAGACACAAACCCTACATACTGTTTATACTAGACATTGTACACCATGCCTGGAGGTATCTTGCCTTCAGTTTCCCACTTGAGGATGTTCTAACTAGAGATGAGCTGAGGATCAGGGGTTTAGCTCTGAATTGCCATTAGGCCAGGGTTGAGGCCAGTGAACTTCCCTTGCTGAGAGAAGCATGTCTATAATGCTGAATAAAGCATGATTATATAGACAGTGTTACGCAGGAATCACTGAGCAGCCTGAAAATGGACTCTGGCCTGGGAGTGTCTGTATGAAGGCACATAATTCCCTACCCATGTGTATTCTGGTGACTTAACTGGGCTCAGAGATTTCTCCAGCCTAGGCTTTGCAGCCATGGAAGTCAGTTAACCCTAGTGAACGTGCTCAGAAAAGTTGGCTCTGCCTCCACCCATCAACCGAGAATAATGCTGGCATGAGCCTCTAGGCTTTGAACAGCGCTCAGAGACAAAAGTTTCCATGCATTTTGGCTCCCGTCTTGTGGTTACCCTCATGCAAACACACAACGCAAAGTTTTCCCTCAGCTTATTTGTTCAGCCTGAGATTTTGGCATGCAGTCAGTTTTGCTGATCCTGGCCCTCGTGTTTGTCTGTCTTCCTCAGAGATGCATTATAGGCCTGTGTGAAGCGGCTAGTATTCACTTCAAATTCGGATTTGGCCAATTCAGGCGACAGTGATTTGAGTTGCTGTCCCAAACTGATTGAGCTGAAAAGTAACCTGTTTAAATTCGCTGATGACACCAAAATCTGGGGGGAGGTGAGCACGCTAGCAGGGAGTGAGAGATTGCAGAGGGATCTGGATAGGTTACAGGGGTGGGCTAACAGGAACAGGATGCGTTTTAACACGGACAAGTGCAGGGTGCTGCACTTGGGCAGTAGGAACCAGCAGCACACTTATACAATGGGGAACTCCTTACTCGAGAGCACGGAGGCAGAAAGGGATCTTGGAGTCATTATTGACTCCAAGATGAAC